CGGTTCAGCGAAGAAACAGAATGTGTACAAACAGGAGCCCAGGGGCCAGAAAAAGCCATTGGAATATCTCTTTATAAATATCTAAGGGAGAGTTTTGGACTTGTTGGAGGTTTGAGCCAATTGTACTGACCTCTCTGAAATGCAAGGGCTGACACCTGGGCATAAGGATGTATGAAGATATCTTTGGGGAAGCAGAGGGAGCCTTCCGCAGTGCACAGTCGTCCCTTTGTATCCACAGGGTATTGGTTCCAGAACCCCGACAGATACCAAAATCCGAGGATGCTCAAGTCCCGTATATAGGATGGTATAGTATTGGCATATGACCAATGCACGTCCTCCCGTATACTTTAAATCGTCTCTAGATTACTCATAATACCTAATACAAGGTAAGTTCTATGTAAATATTGTAAATACAGTGTAAATGCTATGTAAATGGTTGCTGCTGTGCCACAAATTCAGGCTTTTGGGAACTTTCTGGAATTTTTTTTCCCAAATATTTTCAGTTCACAGTTCGTTGAATTTCAGAATGCAGAACCTATAGATAGTAGAACCGACTGTACCTTGACCTACCTGAGGTTGGTCTTGAGGGTCTGGGTCATGAGGGTCAGGACTTAACCTGGGCCTGAAGTGAGCATGAAAGAGGGAAGAGGCGAGAGCCCGCAGCAAGACAAATATTTAGTGTGAGGGCAGGATCCATTTAGAGCTGAACTCAGGACCAGTATGGTGTGAGCAGGTGGGAGGAGAGAAGAGGAAGTGAACACACCCTTAATAATACTTCTTGATGTACCTGTGTGTGCAGTAGCGACAGACCTGGCTCCAGGCGTCATGTGTCACCTGCACAAAGGCTGGGACCCCTCAGGTTCAAACGGTGTCACATTCAAAGAAACAGTCCAGCAGATGAAACCAATGGAGGAGCTATTCTCATGTTGCTTGCATTTCTCAAAATACCATTTATGGAAATCCAATGTATCACCCATAGCAGTACTTACTAAAGTTTCCTTTCACGTATTCCCCATTGTGTGTACTCCTGGCAACTGCCTCTTTGAACAAACTCTCCCTATTGACAATTGTCTACGTCTTTTTCCCTCTCCTCTCTTTTCTATATCATGTAGATTAATTTAGCGTCTTCAACTTCTGTTTTCATTTTCTTTTCATTATCTTGATTCCCTCCAACAAAGGAGTCAAGGAACTGACCCACGAAGCAAAAATCCTTCCTTTTCCTGTCTACCTGTGTAGTGTTGACTCTCAGTTCTCCTAACTGCATTGCAGCAAGAGTGGGAGCACAGTTGGCAAAACCAGAAATCTCCCCCAAGGGCCAGGGAAAAGGAGAAGGCAAGGGGCAAAACTAAACTCTTCAGTGACAAGGTAAACAAGCCTGAAATATGTGTATTAATACATCTTACACGGCCGCTGATGGAGTATGCAGTTTCTAGGGGATTTAACAAAATTCAAACCTTTCCTGTGCATTCAAATCTTGACATCAGTTTCCCCACTTAGGAGGCTTGAGGGGGTGGTGTTACAGGTGGTGCTGATGACCTCTTCCTTCATCACCATTGCTGGGAAGGCAAGATATCTGAAGGAAGATTCTTTCATTTCTTTCATTGGAAAGCAGCAATGTTTCAGTCAGTAATATTCAATAATACTTCTTAAGCACATTGATAAAACCCATTTCAGACCCTGAATTTAGTACTGGTAGATAGATGCTTGCTAAGACAATTTAATATGGAATTTTCAAAAGCAAAGTCTAGTCCATGGCTTATAAATTTTCCTAGCAAGCTCACAGGTGTGTCATGTCATTACTGAGTGAAATCTCTAAGGGTTTCTTGTGTCCGGACTTCTCAGTGCCTTGATAGGAGAAGCGATGTTCTGATCCCCCTGCTTTTGCCTTCCCCAGTGGTGTGAGGACAATGAACAGTGCAGACGCCTTCACCTGCCTGAGCTCCTAGTGGCCCCACTACACAGGCTGACTCGATACCCCTTGTTGCTGAAGAACATCTGGAAAAGGAGTACAGACTCTACGGAGAAAATCATGATCTACTCCATCAAGGAAAAGGTGGAAAAGTCAATTTGTAAGTCCCTGAGATGAGTGACCCAGAGCTCCAGTGTCAGCTTTAATCAAAGAGTTGGGGGACCCCCTGGCTCCTGGGAACCATTTGGGCTTCCATCCTAGGAGGTAATTCCATTGCCTTGAGGTCATGGCTTTCCGAAATGTGGATTCCAGTTTGAGTTTGCATTGTAAATCAAGCACACTCAAAACAATGGGCTCCAGTCACATCCTGGCGAACCCTATGAGAACTCTTAACTCCAAGTTCACGCAGGACGTGGCCCTGTCTCCAAGGCTTTCAGATGTGAGTTCAGGCAGGAAAAGTTCTACTTCCCAGATGATGAAGGCACTTTGTTTTTAACATCCATACTGAACCTACACACAAAGCAAATGGGAATAAACAGCATGGGAAGCCTTTCCAGAGAATAAATTACCATCCGTCATTTTTTTTAGGTCACTGAAATCCAGGGCCAATCTAAATATAATGCCAACTGCAATCTTTAGATCCGAAATTTGGGAATAGGAAAAGAGAAAGCCCTGTGATGACTTAAGTTTATTTGGGTAGCTCTGTATAATCAAATTCAAATAAAGAAGTTCATGGTATATGTCCATAAACCAAGATTTCCTGGGGGGCATCAAAAGGGAACGATTCAAAATGGTGATTATCAGCTGTACAGGAATGACATATTTCTTTTGCATGTTTAAAAATAAAATGACCATTCACTTAGGAGTTTCTTTCCTTTCTTAAAATGTTTTGTTGAAATTCTAAAATAACCCAAGGAACTAGAATTCAGCTTATCAAGTGATTACGACAAAAAATTCAGTTAAAGACAGACTTTTTTAAAGTAATTTTGAAGATTATTACTCATTTTGATAAGTTTGTGAGGGAGATAACATCTCTTCTAGGAATTTCTCAATAAAATGAATTCTCATTGTTGGGGAAAGAGATCCCTGTGGCCTTCCTTTAAAGCTTAAAGATGGAGAATTCTCAAGGATTCCCTAAGCATGTGATTCTCTGGGTCTACGACTTGCCCTCCATGTTTTCAAAAATCATTTCAAAACCTCAATAGCAATATGTTATTAAAAAACATTGGAAAATTAATATAGACCTTCAAAGAGAAAATGAGTTCTTACCAAAAGAAATAATCAACCTTACCATAAAGTGAATATATGTTTTATGATTAAGACGAAAGGATATGTTTGTCCTTGTCAGTCTGATTTTTTCTTTCCTTCCTGTAATCACAAGCTGTGTGTTATAGGGAATATGAGAAAGCTACTAAGGGAACTGTTAGTATTATTGAAATAAAAATGCACAATACATTTCCAACTTACTGAGTTAAATTAGTTCAGCTTCATTTTTCTCTGCAAGAGGCTGATTTCAAATTAATGAGTTTTTCTAAGGCATTTAAACAGCAAGAAATATGTTAAATGAACCTAAGATATGGTTTGGCTCTAGGGGCGGTCAGTATTTCTAAATGATTCCTGTGGATCTTGGTTAAATTTTATGCTGTAATGTCTCATGCATTTAAAAACATATTGGTTGTGTCTTGTCTTTCAGGGGATCTTGAAGGAAAAGTGAAGTGGCTTGACAATTTTCAAAAATGCAGACATCTACAGGAGATTATAGTGTGGCCTCCACTTTGGGATAGAGATAAAGGGTTTTTCATTCCAGAGGTACAAAAAGGATCAATTAGAACCTATGTCCCTTTCTAAACGTTTGGCATTCAAGTGGAAGTATACTAGTATTACAAAGTCCCTAGCTGCCCACTAGAATTAAAAACCTAGCAAGAAGTAAAGCCTTCATCCACATGACATTGTGTGGGGAGGCTGACCTCCTCATGCCATTCCTGAATTGGTCCTTCTAAGCATTTTTCCCATTCTTTCCCATTCCCATGTGCATTTACTGGCATTTCCAAATGTCAGGAACTTTCTGGACAGAGTACATTGCCCCAGCTTCTAGAATATGCTGTCCTCCAATCACTAACAACATCTCTTTGATTTTCTCCCTTGTTTTGCCAGTGCCTGAAACACGTTTTTAAAGAACACATGGCAGAAAACATCCTGTCAGCAACCAACAGACACCTTCTCTATGAAGGAAAATTAACTCTTGCAGGTAAATAACTGCTTTCTTTACAAACCCAACATCTTTGCTACCTTGTAACTTGTCCAACTGTTGCTTATCGAAGGGTGGCAAGAATTGTATTTCCTTATGGCCAAGGCGATGGAAGATGTGAATCAGAGAGCATCCTATGGAGTCACACAGACTCCAGCTTGATCAAACCATGATGTAACTAGCCACACGCCCTCCATTTTCTCTCTGTAAAATAGGATAATGATATCTGTCTTATAAGCTCGATGTTAAAGTGAAGTAACATGTGAAGAGCTTAGCTCAAGGTCTGGAATATAGTAACCACTCAATGTCAGCTGTTACCACCCTCATTTTACTCCTCCAGTGAGCTGGGCAATCATACTCTCAGTGTTGACTGAGAACCTATTATGTAACACACGTTGCATTGTGTAGGTACCACTGGAGGATAGAAAAGTCATTATTCTAGATAATCTTTTCCCTCTAGTTGGGAAGCGCTGCCATAATGAGCAGACCTGCAGTCTAAGTCCAGAAGAGAGTCTGATGCTGGAGTACCCAGGAAAGGCTTCATGTGGTCCATGGGACTGGAGGCAGGCTTTGGGGGAATAGAAGGGTGTAGTTCAGTGAAAGGACAGGAGGGAGGACATCCCAGATGAAAAGCACAGCAAGAGAAAAGGCTTGGAGGCAGAAGCCACTTGAGAGAATAGGCTCACGGCAGCATGGTTAGGAGGGTGATCCCCAAGGCTGCCTGCCAGCTTCCCTTCCCAGCTCAGCCTTTGCTGCCTGTGTAACCTGGGGCCACTTAACAGCAATCCCCCCATGCTGCAGTGTCCCCTCTTTGGTGTGAGGATTAAATGAGCTAATGGATGTATAAGCACTTGAAAGAACCATTGGCAGAGTCAGGGCTCAGTAAATATTATCAGAAAGGGCTGCCCAACTGAAATGAGATTTGCATTCATTCATTGATTCATTTCTTCACAAAATCTTGATTGAGCACCTGCAGTGTGTGAAACCCTGTGGGATGTGCGGTTGCCTGAGATCTTTTGGGGGGTGCCAGGCAGTAATTCCTTATTCAGTACACACCTGTTGAGAACCTGCTCTATTTTAGGGATAGTGCCAGATGTCAGCTTGGGACATAACCCCCGCAGGCAACTGCCAACTCGAAAGATAGACATGCCCAGCTTTTTACATCAAAGGGCTTTTTCATGTTTTCCTTCCAGTGAGTTATGCAGAGAAGTTACATTTAATCCCATGTCACAGGTGAGACTCGGGGAGGTTGTCTATCATGCTCAAGGTCACTTGGCAAGTTAATGGCAGCATTCAGACCCAAGCCAGGCTGCCTCACCCTAGCAGGCTTCCAGAATCATAGCCACTGCCTTGAAAGCCAGAGGGACCCAGCCAGGAAACTGCAAGCAACAAGAAGCCACTGAGTGCTCAGGGACATGAGAGGCTTAAAAGGGTGTTGAAGAAAGAGTTATGGGAAGCAATACACAAAATGGCTAGAAGAGGAGACCAAAGCAGAGAGACCAGCCTGAAGGTGCCACAGTGAAGCAGGATGGGGTGGGAAGAGCCTGGGCCTGTGTTTCTCAACCATTCTCTAGCTGTAGACCACTCCCCTCCCACTTTCATTTGGAAAGATAACAATCTTACCCTTTCTTTTACAATTTCAAAAATAATTATATCATTGTGACAAAGCCAAATCCAACCAAAACCAAAAGTAATGAAGCAAAACACAGTTCTGTGTACAATCCTATGCCTTTCCCTGCAAAACTGGCCTCCACCTGGAATCATCAGAGATTTTATTTCACCTCTTCCCTCTATCTACCAAATTCCCAACTGTGAGACCCACCAGCCTATCCTAAAATGTTAGAAATGGATGTGGATCAAAAAGGATAAATGTGAGAGCTATTTCAAAGGCAAAAACGGGAGGGCTTTATGATTGATAAAATGAAGAGGAAATGAGTCGAAGACCTTCAAGTGTGCTTATCTATCTACCTGAAAGGTTGGTAGATGACCCTGAGGGTGGTGGAGGGAGTGGGTCAGGGAGTCAGTTTTAGGCTTCAGGTGTGGACGTGATGGGAGGCCATGTAGAGGCTGGATGAACATGACCATGAAAAATCTCTTGGTGAAAAGCCGTGTCAGATGTGTATTCACATATCAAGTGGGATGGGGGTGCTTGTCATGGAAGCATGGGTGGGAGACTGGCCTAAGAAGGAGTCGTTATGGTTCAACCCAACTTTTCAGGAAAAGTTCCTTGTAGAGTCAAATGTGGTAGAATGGGGATGACCTACGTAACCATTACTAACACCAGGCTCCTGTCTGACAGCACATGCTGTTAGTCAGATTTCATCAGAGAGGGGTGTGTCGTATAGTAGTGTCAAATCAAGTTTAAAGTCACTGGGACTTTGGCTTGGAGTTGGCATAGAGATATGGTGTCGGTGGCGGTAATAGTGTTAGAAGAAACAGGATATCACTTTGAATGGAAAAAGCATTGGACCAAGAATTAGGGGGTCTAGCCCCAACTGTGGGCTTTGGGGAAATTGTTTAAATTCTCTTAATCTCTTCTCTAAATGTTGATGATGATGATGATGATGATGGTGATGGTGATAACTATGATGACGATGGTATCTACCACTTTAATATGTTTCAGATTTCTTCTAGCCTTAAAAACTGTAGTGTTGAAATTAAGTGCATTTTCTCATTCCCAGAAGGTCCAAGTTTTTATAACTTTCGGAGCATACCCAGCTTCCCACTGAAATTCATGCCAGCACGCCCTTCACAAATGCATTGCTCCCCACAGACTGGTATTTCTAAATAGAAAAAGAGGTAACGTTTAGACAAATAGGATGGCACAGCAGCTGTAGCACCTAGAGAACACACGTTGTTCAAGCTGCTGCAGAACTAGAATAAGTCAGTGACGCTGCTCTGTTCTCTAGCAGTGTGATGAAAACCCCACAGGCCAGACTCTTTGAGAAAAAATAAAGACCTAATCGAGTTAGAACTGCACAAGTTTGTAAGTCTCAGATCTGGTTGTGTGGCACATAGCTTGAAACTCCTGGGATAATAAATGTGAATACTCTAACTTTATGCCTACAGTCTTCCTCCTTAGTCATCCTTTTTCGTAATCCCATATTTACTTTAGCACTATCAGTTCTTGAATTTATCTTAAATCTTGTTTCTGTTTATTATGTATCTGCTCTCACTATAATTAAAGCTCTTTGAAGGAGAGATTTTGTCTTAATCATTGATGCATAGGAGGTGCTCAGTATTTGTTGACTGCTTGGTGGAAAACTAGGGCCTCAGTAAATGGTAGCTAAAATAATCATTTCCTAGAATGAAGTCTAGGACATAGAAGATGCTCATACCTGTTTGTTAAAATACTTGAAGTTAGAAGGAGAAAACAAAGCTATTTCATTTTGACAGTGGTCATTCACCTAATCAGATAGGAGTGGCAGAGGGTGGGGAAAGCAATATTTAACAGGTCTTAAAGGTCTAGCCCCATTCCTCACCCTATGTGTTAGGATATTAAGCCAGCTCTTGGAGACAGACCAGTTTATCTCGCATGTAAAATTCTGAGCTATATGACAGCTTTACTCCATGAAGCCACAAGGGATCTGGGTTTCTTATGTCCTTTTGCTCTGCCATCCTAGAGACTGCTTTCTTCTGTGGCCCCAAGATGAGTCACCAATGTGCCTACGTTCTAGCTCATATTCTGTTGGTCAGAATTTAGTCACTTGGTCATATTTAGCTACAAGGAAAGCTGGGAGATGTAGTATTTATTCACAGTGAGCATCTACCCACTAAAACTTGGAAATGTCATTACTACAAAAGAAGGGAAGAATGGTTTTTAAGGGACAACCAGCAGTCTTTGCTGCAGCCCAGTTTGCAAAAAGGAGTTTCTAGTAGTGATGGAAAACATTAAAAAAAATCATTCAAGGACAATTCAAGATTGAATAAAATATCTAATTTCTCTTCTATGCAAATACAGAAAGTATCTTTCCTCTAAACTTAGACTAAAAATGAATCCCAGATATTTTATTAATTTAACCTTAGACGTCTCGTTTCCACAGGTAAATGTATATGAGAAAGAACTTCTAGAAAAATATAAATAAATAGAATAAAAAAAAATATTTACTGATTTTTCTTGTACTTACCTTAAGTGCCTGTCACATCCCCCTCAAGGACTGCCTGTTCCTCTAAAATCATTTAAATTTAACCATTTCTTTTTTTTTTTTTTTTTTTGGTATGCTAATGTAAATTGCTGTTTTGGGAACTTTTAGAAAGGGTAACCTTTGTCAGATTAATTTTAAATTAAAATTAATTTAAATTTTTAATTTAAAAATTAATTTTAATTTTAATTTTTTTAATTTTTTATTTTTTTATACAGCAGGTTCTTATTAGTTAACTAATATCAATTTTATACATATTAGTGTATATATGTCAATCCCAATCTCCCAATTCATCCAACCACTACCACCAACGCCCCGCCACTTTCCATACATTTGTTCTCTACATCTGTGTCTCAATTTCTGCCCTGCAAACCGGTTCATCTGTACCATTTTTCTAGGTTCCACATATATGCGTTAATATACGATATTTGTTTTTCTCTTTCTGACTTCACTAACCATTTCTTTTTCTAATTTCTAAGGGATAGTGTTAAATTGAGAGGGGGATATCTCATTCTAATATTTCTCTTCTACGAGTATCCCCTTCTTAGGGAAAAGTAGAAAAGCCTATTTGCCTTCAGTTATTATCAAAAGTGATATCAGAAATATATTTGTAAATATAAAGCTTCATGAAGATTATTTAACGCTTGTATAGACACATTGTAAAACTTAAGAAAGAAATTGTTTTAGTGACTGTCTTAATCAGCTAGGGCTGCCATAACAAAATACAGACTGGGTGGCTTAAACAGCAGACATTTATTTCTCACAGTTCTGGAGGCTGGAAGTTCAAGGTCAACTTGCCAGCTGATTCAGTTTCTGGTGAAAGCTTTCTTTCCAGCTATCTCAGTGTCCCCACATGGCAGAGAGAGAGAGGGAGAGAGCATGCTCTGGGGATGACATTCACCCTGTCAGATCAGGGATCCTCCCTTAAGCTTTCATTTAATCTTAATTACTTCCTTATTCCAAATACAGTGGGGAAGGAGGGTAGGGCTTCCGCATAGAATTTGGGGGAGATGCAATTCAGTCCACAGCTATGACAAAGTGCCTTTTTTTCTGGTAATGTATACCTTTGCCAATGACCACACAGATGAGTCAAGAGGCCAAAATGCTGGAGTTCTGTTAGTCAATAGATGTGTCCTAGGCTTAGCTGAAACCACGACAAATATCATCCAGGTAATGTTAGATCCACATGAAATGCCTTACAAATACAATGTCTTTAAAGTTGGAAGGGTGGGCTCACATCAAGTCCCTGCCTTGGGGAGAAATCAGTTCAACCATAATGCAGTTTTCTGACCCACGTGATTGTAACCCCCTGAGCTGCAAGCCTCGTGTGCCCTGATCCCCGGCCTGTGTTGTTTTCTAAGGGATTCTTTGATTTAAAAAGAAAGAAAAAAAAACTCTGCTTACTGTTTCCAGCCCCAATTTCATCTTCTTTCTTTCCTCAGAAAGCACAAGATTCCTAGATGTTTATCTGTTTCTCTTTGATGATTTCCTCTTAGTTACAAAAACTAAGCGCAACAAAAAGGTAAAATGCTGTTGTCTCTAAATAATTCTGCTAAATGAGTTTAGAAATATTTCTGAATAAGTTGAGTTAAAAAGAGAAAAGATTCTTATACATCAAATCAGACTTTACCCTCTAAAAAATGGAGGCATTTTAAAATACTGGCTTTTTCCATCGTAGAGTGCTGGACTGAAAAACAACAGTAACAAAAGTCCCATTTCTTAAGGATGTCAGAGGGTGTGTATATTTTTAGAATGACTTGGTCTGTATACTTTCGAGGCGAGTCCCAGAAGCCACAGGACTTTATGCCTGGCCTGCCTCAGCAAATGAAATTAAGATACTTTTGTCCATATCCGCCTTTTCCTCATCCAAATTGACTACCACAACAAAAGCTACCAGAGCAGGGGGCCTCTCTAAACCGTCGCTGAGGTGATATCCACCACCCATTCTCACGTTCTTCCTGAGAAATGATGCTTTGGGGGCTGCGGGTGGGAAGGAGCCCTGATCTCTCAGTGTCTGCTTATAATTAAGAACTGCAGAAGCCAAACAAACGTACAGTTGGCATCACAGAAAAAAAACGAGTCACCAGGGGCTAGAGCCACAAAATCTCTTCTAAGAATAGGGATTTCTCCCTTAAGTATTAATGGTTACCATTACTGTTGTTACTCCCCGTTAAGCCATGGGTCTCATGATCCACCAAAGGCTTTCTATCTAATGTCCCATTTCACAGTTGTTCCCTGACTGGTGTGTGTGAGTGCTTTCAGCAAGAGGCCTCCTTTACAGCTCTCAGACACCTGCCCTTAGAGATGGGAAGAGGATCTACAGTATGTTTTTGGCTGTCAGAGATAACTAATGTTGCTCTAACCCACTCACTTCTTTACTAAACAACTAGCCTTACACAGATGTAAGATTATGAGACTAGATCTCTCAGATCTTTTAATAACCTAAACTTTTAGATGGCATGTTGGTTAGTTGAGCTAAATAATTTAAGTGTATTTAAGCAATAAAGTAGACACCTATTAATCCGTGCATAGTTGATCAGTGGTTGAGGAGGAAATGGGTGTTGGAGAATATTAAGTCACAGTTTTGAAACTTGGATGGCCTTTTATTTTCAGCTACCCAGGCTAGCATGTCTGAACAGGCAAGCTCTGAAAAATCTCTGTCCCCTTCTAAAACCTGACGTTAAGCACAGCTTACCTTCTCTTTACATAATGGCACAAATCAGAGCCCATGAACTAGTGGCAGCCCATTATTGGCCATATTATAAGATAATGTTCTGGTTTCATGCTTCACAACTTGATTCCACCTGGAGAAGACACCAGGTTTCATTTTTTTGGAAGAAGAAATAAGGAATGTTATCTGTTTTAAATTTCTCTTCGCTATTTAATGCACAAATTACTTCACGTACATCCCAATCTTTGACACCCTTTTTAAAAAAAATTCAGTATTTTATATATTCAAAACAATTTCAGTTATTTACAAATCATAGAGCATGGGAATTTATTTATTTAGATTTTAGTATAAGATCCCATGGACAGAGTTGGCCAACATGAGGCTTCTCTTTCTTGTTCATTTAACTCAGTACCATAGAGGGATACTACTGTAAATGAAGATCTTCCCATTGATGTGATAATGATTTAAATGTTTCCCAGCTATGAAATTACCCTGTTATTTATTCAGGTAATTAAACTTGGGGATCAGAAACACTATGCTTTAAATCACTGTGTACTTTGGGAAATGCTTTTCAAGATCCAGAAGGAATAGTAAGCTGGATTTCAAGCAATTGTTTCTAAAAATCAGTTTACTTAAGGATGTACCTGAAGTATGTGCATCAATATTTACTTCCTATTTATTGCATTATTTTCCTCCTTAATTTTAGAAACTTGGAGGCTCAGACCCTGGTTTAATGTGCCCTTCACTTATTCCTGAGCTACAAACAGTAATCAAAGAAGGTGGTTCATGTATGGTACTCGATCAGCCCATTCCACTAGATTGGTTGTCAGAGGTCTTGATCCACTCCACATGTCAGGTATGTGTCTATTTTCATCATTCAGCTCATCTGTTTGCTATCCCAGCGTTTTATGTTGGCCTTTTTTGGTAATAGGACATGAACCTAATTTAAATCTTCATGAAAAATAATACTAGGTTCCTGTGTAGCTAAATATCACTCAATCTACAGGCTAGTTATGGAAAGAGTATTGGACTTGCTTCCAATGTTTGGATGACCCAGCTCTGCCACTTGCTGTGTGACCCTGTGTGCAAGGTACTTAAATTTTCTAAGCCACAGATTCATCTTGGGAAAATCAGGATAATATCTACCCCAGTGAGCTGTCATGAGAATTAAATGAAATAATGCAGGTAAAGCACTCAATAAATGATAGCTATTATTAGGATTGTTATTCTGTTAACCATTTTTAGTACTATTGCTATTGTTAAAGCACTGGTAAACCATGACGTGCTATGCAAGCCTAAGATATTTTATTGCAATTGCTCTATAGAAAAATGCCAGAAATAAATATATAAATACATATACGTACATACATATACACATATACATCATGTGTATAGATCAGAAATGTATACTTTTGTTTATTTTTCAAGCATTTCCTGAGCGTCTCCTGTGAACCAGGCACTCTGTAAGTGCCCTGGAGTTACAAAGATGGAGCTCTCAGAGCAATGAAAGATCAATAAATCCTGTCAGGAAAGCCCTGGGCCTCGGAGGGACTTGAAGGACATTCTGGCCTACTTAGCACTGGGTGGGTGGCAGCACTGTTCAGAAGGAAGCATCCATCATTCTTTCTTGGGTACAGACAAATCATAGTTTTTGTCTTTTCCAGATATATGCCCAGAAGTAGGATTGCTGGATCATATGGTAATGCTATTTTTAGTTTTTTAATGAACATCCATACTGTTCCCCATAGTGGCTGCACCATTTACATTCCCACCAACAGTGTAAGAGGATTCCCTTTTCTCCACACCCTCTCCAGCTTATTTGTAGATATTTTGATAATGGCCATTCTGACCAGTGTGAGCTGGTATCTCACTGTAGTTTTTATTTGCATTTCTCTGATAATTTGTGATGTTGAGCATCTTTCCACGTGCCTGTAGCCATCTGTGTACCTTCTTTGGAGAAATGTCTATTTAGGTCTTCTGCCCATTTTTTGATGGGTTGTTTTATAAGTTCTTTGTATATTTTGGAAATGAATCCCTTGTCGGTCGCATCATTCGCAAATATTTTCTCCTATTCTGTAAGTTGTCTTTTTGTTTTATGGTTTCCTTTGCTGTGCTTTTAAGTTTAATTAGGTCCCATTTTTTTATTTTTGCTTTTGTTTTCATTATTCTAGGAGATGGATCCAAAGAAATGTTGCTGCAATTTATGTCAGAGAGTGTCCTGCTTATGTTTTCCTCTAGGAGTTTTATAGTATCTGGTCTTACTTTTAGGTCTTTAATCCATTTTGAGTTTATTTTTGTGTATGGTGTTAGAGAACATTCTCATTTCATTCTTTTACAATAGCTGTCCAGTTTACCCAGCACCACTTATTGAAGAGACAGTCTTTTCTCCATTGTATATTCTTGCCTCCTTTGTCGTAGGTTAATTGACCATAAGTGCTTGGGTTTATTTCTGGGCTTTCTATCCTGTTCCATTGACCTTTGTATCTGTATTTGTGCTGGTACCATACTGTTTTGACTACTGCAGCTTTGCAGTATAGTCTGAAGTCAGGGAGTGTGATCCCCCCAGCTGCATTCTTCTTTCTTAAGATTGTTTTGGCTATTTGGAGTTAGTTGACCTATCTTATACAGTTGCTGTGTGGTTTAAATGACACAGAAAGGAAAAAAATACATAGCACTGTGCCTAGTACGTAGTAGGTGCTGAAAAAATGACGTCAACTATTAATTGTTAATCATTATATTAGAACATCAGAGAGAAAAAAGCTATTCCTGACCATTTATTATCTCCTTATTTTATTTTCTAAGCCTAGCCATACCAGGTCCTTTGGTTTATTAAGCCCTTAGTAGCCATATTACAAACTAAACAGATGAGGGATACCTTAAATAACTGAGAACTACAGTTGCAATTTTGAGGAACAGGGATTCTGAAATCCAGCCAAGAACAACAACCTGATCTTTAAAGCCTCACTTACTACAGGGAATTTATAAAGAGAAAAGTCAGGGAGTAAAACAAAAACAGCCAGATCTTTTTTCCAGAAAGTCATTTTAATAGGTTTAAGTCCTCTCACCCCAGAGAAGCTGGACAGAATTTCATGACCTTGACAGGCTTTGTTGTGGTAGAATTTAGGAATTATGAGGTTTAGTTAAAATCTGTAATAGTGAAGTAGTTCTTGCAGTTAAGAAAATAAAGTCTCACATTTACTTCGATTCTGAAATGAGGCCCAACTTGCCTCAGTGAGTCTGAATTAAACCCACAAACTGGGCTTCCCTGGTGGCTCAGTGGTTGAGAGTCCGCCTGCCGATGCAGGGGACGCGGGTTCGTGCCCCGGTCCGGGAAGATCCCACATGCCGCGGAGCGGCTGGGCCCGTGAGCCACGGCCGCTGAGCCTGCGCGTCCGGAGCCTGTGCTCCGCAGCGGGAGAGGCCACAGCAGTGAGAGGCCCTCATACCGCAAAAAAAAAAAAATCAAAAAACAAACTTCAAGGAACAGGAATAATGACTGAGCAAGCATCAGCTGAATGGTCATCCAGGAAGAGTCAGTGTTCTCCTCCTCCTCCCTGAAGTACTTGTTTTGACCCAGAGCCAGCCCTGGTTTGGTTTTGTTTGTTCCTAAACATAAATTGACTGTAGAAAGAATGTATAGGCTGCAAAATTTTATTCCTGGTGCTGTATAAATAATTCAAGGAAGAAGCTTTCATTTTAAGAGCTCCAGCTGTATAAAAAGAGGAAAATCTGCTCTCCCAGTATCTCCTATCATTTCTTTAAGAGACCAGCTAGGAAATGACAGAACAGACTGTTTCTTTTCAAACACAGAAACCATGCCAACATTTTTTGTTTTGTTTTACATTTCACATAATTTGGTGGATGTTGGATTTTATTTGAGTCCATTTTTTTGGCTTTTCTTGGACTGCTGTGAAGCATTCAGGTGGTTTTGTATTTTTGCTACATCTTAACTTGTTTAACTGTTTTGATGTGACTTCCCTTTAAGTACAAAAATAAAACATTTTTAAAAGGAGTGGTGGAGGTCAAAGAAACAGTGATTGTATTATTTTCCGTATTTGTATTATCTATATTTTACACACACAAAATCTACCTATTATGCTAAGCTTTTTCCTTGGGAATGAATACATTTCCCATCACTTAAGCCATAAATGCATTTCCTCAAGCCCCAGAAGTCATTGGCTAAGGAAGAAAAGGTTTTCATATTTAAGTGGTCTCTCTTTGGACATAGCAGTAAAGTCTTGGTCTTGGAATCAGATTCTTTTTTAATCGACATAAACTTCCCACACTCATTAATAAATAAACAAAAATCCAGGTTCTTGTACTGAGAAACTGGATTTCATATTAAATGCTTTGGCTTTTTGTCTTTAATCTTTTTCTAGTCTTTGGGCTGAGAAATTCTTTCCTCATACAACATGAAAACAGCTATCAACAGTGTATAGCAGCATTCTTATTACAAGCCCAAACAGAAAACATCAAGGTATGTATTTCAATTTTGTAGGTTTTGATTCTTCAGACTTAAGGAAAAAAACCTCACCCCAAGCTCATTAAGGAACAGTGAATGGAAAGTTTTGTGTATTTTCCTCTCCTGCTTTGGGAAGGGGGGAGGTTAGAAGGAGGGGAAGGATATGAGTATCTAGACCATACCAGGCTCAGAAACCTCAGAACTGACCATCTTCTTACATCCCCAGTGTTGACACAGCCTCCCTCATTTTTTCCTGTGGCAGAAGCTCAAGAGCTGCCTGTGACTTCTGGGAGGTCTGTAGGAAATGGGGGAAGAACTGCTTTGGATTGCATGCTTGATTTTTTAAGATGCTCCGATCAATTTCCAAAGCCCCAGTATGCAAACAGTATGATGCCAGCTTAAGTGAGGGGCTCCTGCAGAAATGAACTGTGTCAAGTCTTCTCTTCACCCTTTGAAACTATGCTACTGTTTTTACAGCTATGGAGCTGAAGAGCAGCTGCCTATCTGACTCTGGTTTCTTTATCTTAGAAGTTTCCATTTTTGTCTTTCCCCTGGTAGGCTTTCATCAGGGCAGCAATGTGGCCAGACAATTAATGGAAGACTACATTATTTTCAAGGAGTCAGTTTCCTCCCTCAGTCTGTTTTTCAAGTTATGCCACTGATTAAGAACTTCTGTTTCTACACAAAGTGGAAATTCAAGAAATTCAGCTTTCAAAGTACTTATATTCCCAGTATTCATCTTTGTAATTAGTCGTCATTGACTATTATGGCTTCTTGATTACTCACAATTGTTTATCCAACTTGCATACCATATTCATCTAATCCATTTGCATTTTCATATGTGATTAGAGATATTTATGATATATTCGATTTAAGAAAGAAAATGGGAAACATAGGCAAGTGTTTCATCAGTCTTCAGTTTTAAAGAGCAAGTCAACAAATACAAAGGAAAATATTAATCCAAATATGTGAGAAATTTAACATTCTCTTCTCTCTATATATTTTTTCTTTCTTAACAGAAAACATGGATTGCACAATTAACAGCAGCAATCTCTTGCTTCACCAAGAGTCAGGAAACCACTTTGCCTGCAGAATCCTCGGAAATTTAGGGACCTAAAACAAGTGGCACACCTTTTTAGACATTGGGGATTAAGGTATTCTTTCATTCAAACTTGTAACACTTACCTAGTGATGAGCTAAAAGAAAATGTGCATTTTAAAGAAGTTCCAGAATTTAAGCTAGGAAATTCCTCAGCGTAGAGTAATAATGGCTGCAACAGATTTGAACCGGAAGGAATTTCTTGATAAGTGTATACATGCTGATAACCAGACTACATTATAATGCTTCAGTCAGGCTTGCAAGAGGGCTGAGGGAAGTATGATGCTATTATAATTCGTAAAAGGTGAATGACCAGGTAAATGCAGTATCAGGAGGAAAACAATGCCCACTGCTTGCATCTGATATGAATTCTAGCATCTTACTTTGTGTACATCTGTAATGAAACCAAGTTTCCTACATGACTTATAAATCAGCCTTACTGCTCTACAGTCCTACCTCATACAAAGCTTGATTGCTCTTTTAACATACTAAGCAATGAATAATAAGGTCTCCATCTTAGTAGCAGTTTTTAAATTCCTAGTCGCCAACAGTTTATTTATCTCAGGTATACTTTGTATAACTCTTAACATGGAAGGAGAAAATCCCAAAGACTAAATTCCATTGTTTTAAGAAAGAAAAAGCAAATATCTGTTCCAGTTTCACAAGTTAACAGTTTTACTTGGGAAATTTCATAGAAATAGTAGGATATCTTTCTCTAAATCTCACTTTTTGAAGAACAGTGGAGTTTGTCATAAAACTTCTTTCTGGTTTTGCGTGTGCGCACAGTACAGTTACTTTGTCTTATCTGGCAGGACTTGAAACATCATTAGAATTTCTTAAAGAGAGCTTGAACTATTATCATGGTGGAACATACTGTTAACTGCATGTAAGGAACTAGTTCTTATAGTCAGATTATATCAAAAAGAAATCCACAGATTTCAATTTCAGACATGGTACCTTTTGCAGTTTCGAAAATGGAAGTAGTACATTTATCAACTTGGACTGCAAGACAAATTATACCTTAACTGATCTCCTTAAGCTGGAGAATGGGATAGAAAGGATCATGCTTGGGGAAGTCACATGCAGTTAATTCTTTGAGAAAAATATGATTTCACCATGTAAACCAGGCAGTATAGACAAGTGCAGCATAACAGTTATTTTCAAGGGCCAAGCACCATTAGAAAGGAGGGTCACAGCCCATGTGTAATAATGTCATATTTATTAGGAGTAAGTGAAAATGAAAGGAAAATCAGGAAGGCAGTAACTATGGTCAATGCCTAAGAATAAATGAGAAAAAAAGGCAAAGTACAGGAGAACAAATTTCAAGTGAGTTCTTAGAGATGAAAAATATGTATATTTTTAGAAAAAAATTAACAATTGTCTTGCAAGGATTTCTAGATATCAGCCAACTTAGGAAAAGGGCAATGGACTAGGTGATCTCCCAAGATTCCTTTTAGTCCAAGTCCAGTAAACATATTTGTTTATATGTATAAAACTATTTTCTCCCTTAAATCTCATTAAAGGGAGAAAAAGACTGACTAAATTAACATGTAAATTTAATTAGTTAAGATGTAAAACAGCTTTAAAACATTCAATATACAAAGAAATATTAGCACTTCTATGTTCCCTGCAGTACTACTCACAATAGCCAAGATGTGGAAAAAACCTTAATGTTCACCAACAGATGAGTGGATAAAGAAACTCTGATATGTACATACAATGGAATTCTATTCAGCCTTGAAAAAGAAGGAACTTCTGCAATATGAAACAACATAGATGAACCTTGAGGACATTATGCTAAGGGAAATAAGTCAGTCACAGAAAGACAAATACTGCATGATTCCACTTATATGAGATTTCTAAAATACTCAAATTCATAGAATCAAAAAGAGTGGAATGGTAGTTGCCAGAGGCTGGGGGTAGGGGGAAATGGGGAGTTACTAATCAATGGGCATAAAGTTTCAGTTAAGCAAAATGAGTAAGCTCGGGAGATCCGCTGTACTGTACACTTTTACAAGAGTTGTCAAGAGGGTAGATCTCATGTTAACTGTTCTTACCACAGTAAGATAAAACTTAAAAGAATATACTATGTATTTAAAGTGAAATTCTATAAAGCTCACAAAAGAGCATATCTAATATATATTAAGTGCTTGAGGATATACATGTTATTCTCTTCAGAGGGAAACACAAAGTAAAATGAAAAATCACTTCTGGAACTTTGGTTCCCAGGGGAAAAAAAAATCAGTAAAAAGCAATGGTACATTGAGCCTTTAAATGGTCACCTGGGTATTAAATGTACAATGAAAGAGATTAATATTGTTTAATATTTTTTAGTTAATTTTTCTCAATAATGAAATGAAAAGGGGCTGTCTCGAGCAAAACAGCATTAGTAATTTCTCTTGAAATATGAACTTAATTACTATTCTTAGTTGAACATTAAAGCACACCCATTGTGAGGTTGGGATTGACATATATATATATATATATATATATATACACTATTAATACTATCTATAAAATAGATAACTGAGAACCTACTGTATAGCACAGGGAACTCTATTCAGTCCTCTGTGGTGACCTAAATGGGAAGAAAATCCAAAAAGGGGATATATGTATACGTATAGCTGATTCACTTTGCTGTACACTAGAAACTAACACAACATTGTAAAGCAACTATACTCCAATAAAAATTAATTTAAAAAAATAAACACACCCATTGTCTTTATCCAAGTGCAAAGTTCTAAATCTGTAAATAAATTAATGTAAAATGGCTTAAATAGACAAAATAATTTAGTCAGAATATACTAGAAATTATTTTTAATATCTTTAGAATATTTTTTAAAAAAGCAACAGTTCAATAAAGGATTCTTCCATTGTTCTTTATACAGATTCAAATGTTTTATCAGTTACATTTATAATCAATAACCTTCCACTCACTGAGTTTAGAAACCACAGTATTTACTGAGCTAAACTCCCTCACAAATAAGGCACAACTACATGATCACAAGTAGTAAACAATACAGTGAATCCAAAAACTAAATATTCATGCAAAAGTATCTACAGAATATATGATCCAGTTCAAGAAGTACAGAATGTCATATACATAACTGCATCATGTTACAGTAAATTCACTGCTTCTACAGGGAGAGAACCTAGCTATTTCCAATTCTATTTTATACAATTTTACATAAATTTAGTAAGTTTATGCACAGTATTCACATTTGCAACAATAACTGATTAAAATTCAGGCAAAGGGCAATTAAGACAATAATGTGTGGTATATAATTACAGAATACCATTCATCAAGCTCTTGTCTAGGAATACTAAATTGATGGCACGTTTAAATTTTATGGATCAAATCATCCATGGTTTCATAGCCAAAGTGCATTTAAAAAAAACTGCTATAGTCAAATAGGTCATGAATATCAAAATATATGATCATAATTTGCTTTCCACTTAAAAGCTAAACATCTTTATGCAAATGCAAGGTTAAAAAAAAGTGGCTTTAAAGTTCCCAAAACTATAAAATAATCATAAAGCCTTTTCAAGAGAGATGGGAAACTAACAAATTTGGCAGTTACTATGTAACATTACTGTGAAGAAATTACTAGCTAATTCCACATTAAGAGGTAGTTGAACAAAATTACACACTGCATTGAGGTTTTTGTGTTTGTTTCCCTCTTCAAAATAAACAAATCCTATACCAGCAGCTTTGTCTTCTTTCTACTAAAACTTCTGTAGGTGTAGTTTATTGTACACTAACCCAGCAAGACTTGATTTTAACTCATGTTTCTGTGCTTGGGTTTAGAATTTACTAACAGGTGATGCCAATAGGCTTTGCATTAGAGCTGAGAGCTGGGACTCCATACGTGCCAGCTCTAAATCACTGACAAATAGTACCAGCAGACATCTAAAATGTCGAACCAGTAAGCACTCAGAAGATGACTTTTTAATTAAAAGAAACAGAAAACCCTTTAATTTTTGTTTCCAAAACACCTTACTGGTGAGATTAATAGCAAAATATTGTTTCATTTCTAAATAAGCCTAATTATTTGGGGCCTAGGAAGTGAGATTAGCTAGATGAAAAGTAGAAAATCACTCAAATACATATGGTTATATTTGTTGTCCCCACAATTTTTTATGAATATGTGGGTGGGGGGACAAGACAGGGATAGGCCTTCAGTGCACCCAACTGGGAGATGAGTGAACAAATATTCTAAGCCAGAAGAATTCCCGTGAAGTTTCATATCATAAAAAAATAATAATGGTGCTGTGAATGTTTTTCCAACATGCTTATTAATTTACTTATAAGTGTAGAATTAAGACTATTTGAAAGAATTTATATGAAAATGCATAAATAATTTTAGCTCAATTTTTATTATCCAACTTATTTTTAATAAAGATCCACTGTATTTCTTCGTTCTATACGCTCAAGGATATATGTTTATCTGAGTCCAGGGACTCAGTCAGGGTCCTTAGTAGCTACTGACAACAGAGTTTACTTAAATGGGTTTTTTAAATAATTAAATGAATATATGGCAATCTCTGTTTGTATACATTATAGGAAGAGCATAAACATAATTTCAGCATGATATTTGAAAGCAAGTGTACATTATAAACTATGTATTGTAAATGAAATATTAGCTCCCATCCTTCCCTATTAGCAAATGATTGCACTGAATGAATATATAGCTTTACTTCCTTCTTAGAGTAATAAACCAATATTAATGAGTTCTCTCTTCAGATGTTCTCCAATTTTCCAAATTAATACGACTGATAAAGTTAAATTCCATTGTTCAGCATCCAAACAAGCTAATTTTTAATTACCCTCAATTTGCCAGTCTGTTTCAGTTCTAGTTATAATTTGGGGATTCCTAAATACATCTGTTTTTGGCGATACTCTATTATCCAACTGTTATTTCAAGGTAATTTCATAGCATTATTTTTGCAAAGTAAACAGATACACAGTTGATATGGAACCCAAATTCAGAACCTTTTAAAATTTAAGTCA